GCAGGAGAATCACTTGAACCTGGGAGGTGGAGGTTGTGGTGAGCCTATATCACACCATTGCACTCCAGCCTGAGCAACAAGAGCAAAAACTCCGTCTCAAAAAAAAAAAAAAAAGTGGTAAAGTGGTGGCTTTGGGGAAAAGAACTAGGCGGCTGGGGATGGAAAGGGAGACTTTTCATGGCATATGCTTTTGTGCTTTTCAAATTTTATGCAAGGGCATATATTACCTATTCAAATAAAGTGAAAAGCGAAAGAAAGAAACAAATTTTAAAAGAGCCTCTTCTTGAAACACTCAGCTTGCCAGAATCTGCTTTTCTTTTGCTAAGATGGTCAGTTCTGTAAAGAGGACACATTTTTCTTGCGCAGATGATTTTGCTAAAAAAAAAAAAAAAAATTCAGAGAAAGCATCTAATGACTTTGAAAGAACACCAGAAATAAACAAATGGATTTTACATTCTGATAGTTACACAAACTCCTCACCAGTTTAGAGTTACACCTTCTACCATTAGGAAGTACATAAAGTCAGCCTACATGCAGGAGACAAAGATTTTCATTCTGCAATAAAAGTAAAGAATTTCATTAAATATCTCTGATGATAGCAGCTGCCTGGCTTACTTGGGTGCAGAGGTGAAGGTAAATGTTTCCTTAATTGTTTTATGATGTTTGAATTTTGTGCTAACCACAGAATTACCAGTTTTTATTTATTTAATTTTTTAATCTGAGCATTTAAAACAGTGTGACTAGATGGAACTACAAGGTGACCATCATCATACTCCTATAATTACTCCCAGCAGCACCTGTGAGTTCAAAGGGCAAAGGTGACAGCATACGTCTTCAAAAATATGTGGGGGCACAGAGTGACACAGGGCACCTGAAAAAGATTAACCAGCTGCAATGGGGAGCCAGAGGTAACCTAAGGGGCTGGGCCCACTGGTTAACAGAAAGGTCAACAGAAGCAGAGTCCAGGCAGCAACATCAGCTCTTTAACCCAGTGTGGGTGATGCACATCATTTGACCCTCCCTGACACCAGCTCACTTATAAAACGGAAATATTCAATTAGCCAGGCATGCTGGCATATGCCTATAGTCCCAGCTACTTGGGGCGCTGAAGCAGGAGGATCGCTTGAGCCAGGGAGGTAGAGGTTGCAGTGAGCTGTGATCGTACCACTGCACTCCAGGCTGAGCAACAACAGAGGGAGATCCTCTCTCAAAAAAAAAAAAAAAACAGAAAGAAAGAAAAGAAAATATATATTCTTCCTTATAATGAGTCTTCCAGATTCGGTGTTGGGTACACACACACACATACATACACACACACACACAATCTGGAAGATTTGTTTTCCATCCCCCAAAAACTAAAATGCAGGAAACAAATTATGAGTTCTCAGAACTCAGGGTTTCATGTTGATTTTAATGTCCTGTTTTGTGTGTGTTCTAGTTAAAAAGCCAATGAGAATTCATTGTTGGCTTGTCTATACTTCAAGTGCACGTGATACTTTTTATTCATAATTATTTTTTAAATATATTAAATTTATATGGAAATTCTGTTATATTCAAGTATTGACTCCCCCAACCTCTTGATTAAGAGGTGATTCTGGCAACTGTTAAGCAAGAGAAGGTCAGCTAAGATTTGGATAAGACTTCAAATACTCCTTGATTACATGCAAATCAACTTTCAGAAATACTCAGAAATGAGACTTCAGGCAAGAAATTTTGCTCTGAGATTAGTTGTCTTGGACTGGGCGCAGTGGCTCAGCACTTTGAGCTGAGTGTAGTCTCAGCACTTTGGGAGGCCAAGGTGGGTAGATTACTTGAGGTCGGGAGTTCAAGACCAGCCTGACCAACATGGTGAAACCCTGTCTCTACTAAAAATACAAAAATTAGCTGGGCATGGTGGAGGGTGTCTTTAATCCATTACTTGGGAGGCTGAGGCAGGAGAATTGCTTGAACCAGGAGGCGAAGGTTGCAGTGAGCCAAGAGCATGCCACTGCACTCCAGCCTGGGCAGGAGACTCTTGTCTCCCGAAAAAAAAAAAAAAAGGAGGAAGAAAGATTAGTTGTCTCTGATTGGTTAAAGGTATTTGAAAGTTTAAAGGTACAAACTGAAACAGTCAGGGTGCTTCCTCTCTCTGGTTGGACTTTTTCAATATGCAAATGGAAATTCCTTTAAAATTTCCCAAATTGAGAGGAGCGGAAGCCACTGTGTGGGTCCATAAGAGACTGTCATCTATGCGGACAGATGTCAAAGGCTGTTCTTCCCAAGCAATCAGGAACGCAGTTGAGGCCGGCAGCAGTGAAGCCAAAGAGAGACATAGACCAAAATCCACCTCCAGCCAAAAATGGTTGGGCAGCTGCTGGGAGACCAATGACCAGATGACCAATATGGACCAATAATTCTGTGGTCCCTGCTAAAACCAGAATGGTTTTAAACTGATTTTTATTTACTAGCTTTTCTTTTTTTTTTTAAATTCAGTTTTATCCCCCTTGGTTAGAAGTAAAATGTCCTTGCAAAGAGAAAAATTTCCATAAAGAATTTTATCAGTCTAGATAGAATGACTGTAAAAATTATCACTACACATATAATGGGCAACTTCACAAAAAAATGAATTAAAAAAAAAATCTATTTGTTCAGTACATTTTTGAATGTGAAAGGATCCATGAAAAGGAGGAAGAATCAAAAATCCACATTCTAAAATCAGGGAAAATCAACAGCCTGAGAAGAAGTTGTACATACGCACGCCCAGGCATTTCATCACAGGACTCCCTCCACACAGCCTTCCCAGTGCTCACCGGCAGGCAAACCACGTTTCTCTGGGCAGCACAGTCAGTTCCAGATTGAAAGGATTTCTCAAAAGGTCAGAGTTGTGGACATATTGCTCAAAACAAACAGGAGAATGTAGAAATAAGAGGAAAGATGGATAGGTGCATTAGGGCTGTGTAATGCAAGTGCCAGGAGTTACACTACCAGGACCGACGAGCATGTCATAGCTGCACTGCTAGGGAGGGAATAAAAGGAGCTGCTTAAATGCAAGAAGTGGTGTGTCTTTCTTCCCCATCCTTTGTCGGCCAGAGTCTAACATTCATACTCAGGATGTCATGAAAATGTAACTGATGAGGTCAGGGAGTGGGGGGAAGAAACCCAAGCACTCCTACTGTCCAACCCAATGGAATTCCCTATGGGTAGGCCCTCAAAGTGACGCCAATTACTGTGAGATTCATGGTTTTCACTTCTGTAATAACCTTTCCACCTTAACCAAAATCTTGGCAGCCAAGGAATCCACCAAGCTGAAGCCAAAGGCAGCATGTTTTAAAATGGAATCCTTGCCCAAAAAGGACACACTCAGAAAAAAGCAATGAACTCTATTCTGTACCTGGGGAATGGCTCTAAGTTACAAAGCCAAGGAGAGCTATGTTCCAGTTAAAAGCCAGCCAGAACCAGACCAAGCTGGGCTGCCCAGGAGTATGGGTTTAGGGATGTGGAGAAGTGTTGTGGCAAAGAACAACTCTTCTGTTCCCTGTTTAGTTGGAGTTTGAAATCATTTGGACAGCCACAGACATTCCAGCAACCAGACAGTTCCTGGAATAAACACAGGGCTTCTCCAAAACAAGTGACCAGATACATTTTAAGGAAAACAGAGGAGGGAGTGGGAAGAGAACGTATAAGATTCTTAAGAGACTCAAATCAACCTGTTGCAATGTGTGGATCTCATTTGTACCTTGATTCAAATAAACTACTAAAAATGACAAAACAGCAGGGGAAAATCTAGATATTTGAATTGACATTAATTTTTAGTGTGATAATGGATGGTATTTGCTCATATATTTCTTTACCTGATTCCACCTTATTTAGATAATCTGAAATATTTATGGATGAAATGATGCCTGGGATTTGCTTTGCAATAATCTGGTCAGGTGGGTATAGAGGAAAACAAGATGGCAGCATTGAGTTGAGACTTCTTGAAGCTGGGTGATTAGTACACAGGGGTTCATGTGCTCCTCTCTCTACTGATGTGCATGTTTTATTTTCTGTAACAAAAATCAAAATAAAAGAAGGCAAGGGCCTCTGGGTGGGTGGACAGTCAGGTACTCACACTTCCCCTTGAACTCATCTCTTGAGACTTCCTCTTCTCTAAATCAGCAGGAGGACCCACGCCTGTGATGGTGAATCCAGGTGCTGTTTTGACAGAAAGGCTTCTTGAAAACCTTTCATGTCTGCAACTGCTCTTCCACTAAGTGAAAAGGAACTTGGCCAATCAATCTTCAGTGACAAAACTCAGGAGCAGCAACTTGGGCTTAGCTAAGCAGCTCATCATTTTATTGACACCTATGAATGGTGGTTCTAGGAGTGTTTTACGCCAGTAAGCATTCCTACTTTGATAAGATTTGCTACCCAACGGTCTACAGGGTCCTGCAAGGAGCAGCAGGCCCCAGTACTTGGACATGCTGGCCACCGGTGAGGGCAGGGGCCTCTGCCTATGGGTAGCATGGAATGGGGAGCAGACCACCAGCAAGAAGGAAACGAGGTTGTTGGGCATGGGACAGAAGAACAGCACAAAATCCTTTGCACTAACTGGAAGTTTTGCCCTGGGCAGGCTCTTCTTAGAAGAGGGAAGGAAACCCTCTTCCACTCCCTGCCCCAGCCTACTCTTCCTTCCCCAACAGCTCCCACATAGGAAGCAGTGCCAGTTCCCAGGGGGCTGAAGTTACCTACTGAGCATTAAGACAACAGGGACATGAGGGCAACTCAGATTCCTGACTCTTATCCCAGGCCTCCTCCTCCCATTACCTCAAGACAGTGAGGATGGTAAGACTTCAATCAAATACCAAGGAGAAGCTGTCAGAACTTGGGGTTACTTCATACAATAATTGAGATTAGTATTCAAATAGCTTGATGGCTGGGAGAAGCCCTTATGATGTCTTTGCTGAAACAGAATACAGCCAAAATAATCAAGTTATTTAAATATTTATAGTGGTGGTTGAAAAAGAAACAACTTTCACAAGAACAAAGTTACAATACTTTAATAATTTAAACAGGACCAACTTCAGGAACATACATACGCATACATAAAATTAAACAATTTAATTTTGAACAGTGTATTGAAATACATCAAATTCTTAAAAAGCCCCCAAATGGACTCAAGATCATGGATATGAAAAGGTAATTTTGAAGTACTAGAGACTAGAGTAAAACAGACAAAGTCATTACTTCGCATTTACTAATAAGACAACAGTCTGTGGATACATTAGACCTTTATAAGAACACTTCTAGGAAATGTTAGAACAACGAGTCATTAAAAAGGAATATAAATGACCTCAAAAAGATAAATGTATAGCTATCAATTTCTTTGGTCCTCGAAGTCACACTTGTTTTTACTTTAAAATACTAAACATGAGTGCTTAGAATTCTACCTATAAATGTCTACATATTAAGCAGGCTAATGTTTATACTGGGTTAGATTTAAAAAGGAACTCAAGCCAACCATCATTGTAGTTAAACTCCAGAAAGAAAAAGCTAGAAAACAGACAGAAGTAGAGAGGAATGGAAAAAAACAAAAAACAAAAAACCCAATACCTCTGCCATCTTGCCCCATCATAACCCAAATAGCATCAAAGTGGCAGAGATGGGACTAAAGTTAAAGCAAGCATCAAAGTTAATTACTTTTAGGGTAATGGGATAAATTTGAAGAGCACTATGTCAACCAAATAATAAACTTCATAGAATAACTGTGTTTGTGTTTCTGTGGAGGAGTTGTGGTTTTGTTTGTTTTAATTTGGCCCACACTGCCCCAATGGAGGAAATTCTAAGATAATCATTAATAAGGCAACAGCTTCCAGGATTAAAATACCTATACCACCTATACGGAGTTACAGTGAGGACAGGACCCACGTAGACCACAAAGGAAACCAGGACCAGAAGTTTCCAGTGCATTTTCACAGACCGTTGGTACGATAACCTCTGGTTAGAACACTGGACACAGCTCGTAATGTCTTCCACCATCAGTTCAGTCTGTGCTCTTTCAGGTACGTGGAAGCTATGGTTTTGCAGACCTGAAAATGATGGGCACTCTCAAATGTTTCTGGAAATCCTTAGAAAAATATCTTATAAGATTAAAAAAAAAGAAGAAGAAACATTTTGAGGCATCTACATGGAACACACAAAGGAAACTCCCAATAAACCTATAAAGTTAAAACTGAGATGACTAGTTATTTGCAGTGTGCGTACCAAGTCTTATAAAATAATGGCTTTTTAAAAAAGGCAAAAGTATCTACACTCTAAATGATATTCTCATCAAGGCACAGAGAGTTAAATATCTAAATCCCTGTATGTTGACATGAGAATATACTCGCAAACAACACCAGGAACTAATTCCCTATTCTTGAATTTAAAAACAATAGAAGGTAGAAATGTGCCTTTTTAACTCACAGTAAAATCAAAAACATAGACATTCCACCACCTTCCCTTGGTGACTAACATTACAACTGCTAAAAATATATTTTTAAATGTCACTGGTGGTTTAATAAACATGACCAAAGTGGAGTCTGTTGAACTTGAATTCACAGAGCAATACCGCATTAAATATTTTAGCACTTTCAGCACTATACCATTTTTATTGGAAGAAGAAAAAAAAAAAACAGTATACTGGGCACAGTTCCCTCCCATTCCCAATGCTCCTATGCTTATGAGTCAAATTACTATACTATTTGAACAAAATACACGAATTCTTCTCCCTTCCCAGGCCCCTCTGGTTATCTGGCAGCAGTTTTGTGCACGTACTTACACTATTAGCAGTTCACTTTAATATTGCCACAAAAAGGTGGCAAGAAGAAAGTAGAGGGCTCAACCCTTTATTATATTTATTTAACTTTCTAGAAATCATTTTAAATATAATTAGTGACAAGGAAAAAGTTCACATGTGTAACAACTGAAAATGGAATGTACAAACAAGACCAGACAGACAGACAATGCTACCGGCAGTACAATCAGCAACCCCCACGCACACACACTGAAGCTCAGCTCCTAATGAGAGTCAGGAACTCTTCCCGAGTCTTTGGATCCTCCCGGAACACACCCAACATCGTGCTGGTCACAGTTTTGCTGTTCATTTTCTGTACACCTCGCATTACCATACACATGTGTCTACAAAATAAGGCAACACAGGTTGTTTAAAGGAGTAGACAGCTGCTGGTTTGGTTTTTAAAAGCAGGCCTAAAAATTAAATCTCAGTTCACGGTTACCAAGTATATCAAAATATTCGTTCTTACACAAATATTATCTATTTGGTTCGTGCAAAAGTAACTGTGGTTCTTGCCATTGAAAGTAACGGCAAAAACTGCAATTACCTTTGCAGCAACCTAATTTTTTTTTTCTTCAAGTTGTCTTGCAACTTTTATTCTTATCAGTAGTTGATCCTTAAAGCATCCAAAAAGGGGAAAAAATGGAATTTTCTTCTGGGGTGAAAGAAATACAAAAGGCATACAAAGATACTTAACTTCTAGATCAAAAGAAAGTCAGAATTCTCACTTGCTCTGCCTTTAGGACCAAGACAGCACTATGCAAGCCTAGGTGTTGAGATAAATGCTCAGGTATACTGGTGTTACCAGGCAGAATTCAGATAATGGTGACCAGGGATCCTGTCTGAGCAACCTGGTGACATTAGACACCAGACATAGAACAGAGTTCACACCATGTCACAGAACACATATGAACTCTGTCCACACAACAGCTGCAATTCTCTTAACTCATCCTAATTTAAAGAAATCTACCAATTCTTGGCTTTATTTTTGGCTTTATTTTTTAAATGTGTGACAAAATATTAGAAAAACTCGGCTTGGAGCAACAGAGAGCTAAAGAAGAAATCAAGAGAAGACATAAAAATGGCTCCTGGGGCTAGGCGCGGTAGCTGATGCCTGTAATCTCAGTATTTTGGGAGGCTGAGGCGGACAGATCACCTGAGGTCAGGAGTTTGAGATCCCCAGCCTGGTCAACATGGTGAAATTCCATCTCTACTAAAAATACAAAAATTAACTGGGTGTGGTGGTGGGTACCCGTAATTCCAGCTATTTGGGAGACTGAGGCAGGAGAATTGCTTGAACCTGGGAGGCAGAGGTTGCAGTGAGCCGAGATTGTGCCACTGCACTCCAGCCTGGGTGACAGAGCATGACCCTGTCTTGAACATTTTTTAAAAAATGGCGATTGAGCTGGGCGCAGTGGCTCTTGCCTATAATCCTAGCACTTTGGGAGGCCGCGGAGGGTGGATCACGAGCTCAGGAGTTTGAGACCAGCCTGGTCGACATGGTGAAATCCCATCTCTACTAAATATACAAAAATTAGCCAGGCATGGTGACACGCACCCATGGTCCCAGCTACTCAGGAGGCTGAGGCAGGAGAATCGCTTGAACCCAGGAGGTGGAGGTTGCAGTGAGCCGAGATCACGCCACTGCACTTCAGCCTGGACAACAGAGCGAGACTCCATCTCAAAAAAAAAATAAAAAAAGGGCTATTCATCATGTAAATCTCTATACTTGTGCTTATAACTCCCTATGCCTCCACAAGCCCCATCCTACCCTCAGAAAAATACTTCTTCCGTACTCTGTTCCTATATCAGTAACGCAGTAAATGAAAGTGGTAAAAGAGCTTTAGGCTCAGGGATGGAAATCTACAGTTATTATGTCAGTTGTGTGGCATCACCTGGTGCTACAAAATATGAGAAGCATTAAATAGCAAGATCACTTCTAGTGCACCATTATGATGTTACTAAAGGCAGATGCAGACTTACGTTGCTTCAACCACTACCCCGACTCCAGCAGGCCGCAAGGCTTCCGTGATTGCTACAGCAATTTGTTTCGTAAGGCGCTCCTGAACTGTGGATGTGACAAGGAGCTCAGTTTGAGAGTCTGACACAAACAGCTGGAAGCTTTTTCTGTCTCTAGAACATTTGAAATCTTAGAGAACAGACTTCTGTGAGATTTAAGAGCCAAGACACACCAGCTTTTACCAGTCTGCTTTGTCTGCTGAGTGGGCCACAGAGAGGCCCGGATTCAACTCCCTCACCTGAAGTACAGGGCTAAAGAGATCTCAGAACCCCTGAAGCCCTCCAGCATCACTAGGGGAAGGAATTAGAATAGTAATTATCTCATAGCTGTGCAGTAAGAACAACACAGTACTGGTTACCAAGCACCTCCATGGAGGTAAAGTAGTGCAGCAAATAAATAGCTTGCAACAGGGTTAACAAAGGGGCTGCAGTCCGATTATTGAGCTGTACTTAGAGCAATGTTGAAAACCAACAATTTAACCTAAATAATATAGTTCCTGTCCTGAATAAAATGACTTGTCTTTTAATTCATACAAGAGTATCCGTTGCAGCACTGCATCTATTCAAAAACTGATGAAACCCCCCAATGTCTATCAGAGCAGGTATAGGTTACACCAAGCCATGGCATATACAGAATTCTAGACAGCCACCAGAATGAATGATAGTTATATGGATGTGGTAAAATTGTTTAAGATTTGTTAAATGAAAAAAAGCAGGGCAAAAAGCAAGGCCGATTACATATAAAATGAGCCCATTTTTGTTTAAACATAATCCAAATAAATTGATTTGAAAACGTAGGTATATGCATGAAAATGTGAAGGAATGTGCAAATACAACAGTGATTTCTTCTGGAGGCTTGAAACAGACTTTTTATAGTCCTATGAGGTTTTACATTTTTATAAGTCATACTTACTACACTTGTAATAAAACAAAAAATACTTTTTGTGTAGGAAAAATGTTTTCTGTAGCCAGGCACAGTGGCTCACTCCTGTAATCCTAGCACTTTGGGAGGCTGAGGTGGGTGGATCACCTGAGGTTGGAAGTTCGAGACCAGCCTGACCAATATGGTGAAACCATCTATACTAGAAATACAAAAATTAGCCAGGCATGGTGGTGCACTCTCGTAATCCCAGCTACTTAGGAGGCTGAGGCTGCAGTGAGCTAAGATTGCACCACTGCACTCCAACCTGGGTGATAGAGAAAGACTTTGTCTCAAAAAAAAAAAAAGAAAAGAAAAAGTAAAATGTTTTCTGTTAGTAAAGATTTTTAAAGCTTACCTTGTAGTCTTCTACTATAGATTTCTACAATCCTAGAAAAGAAAGAATTGTTTTAGTTAATCATAAATCATTTGAAGCAAAATTGATAAGGCTTCCTCATAAAACAAAAAGGACACTGTTGAAGCAACAGTGGGCTGCAGGAGGGGATAAAGCTTATGGGAAGATGACAGAAAGATACAAGTAACACAGGGAGATGTAGTCTAAAGTCTACTTGATTGGATGGAAGGATGCAAAGTATTGTTCCTGGGTATGTCTGTGAGGGTGTTGCCAAAGGAGATTAACATTTGAGTCAGTGGGCTGGGAAAGGCAGACCCACACTTAATCTGGGTGGACACAATCTAATCAGCTGCCAGCGAATATAAAGCAGGCAGAAATACATGAAAAGGCAAGAGTGGCCTAGCCTCCCAGCCTACATCTTTTTCCAGTGCTGGATGCTTCCTGCCCTCAAACATTGGACTCCAACTTCTTCAGTTTTGACACTTGGACTGGCTCTCCTTGCTCCTCAAGCTTGCAGATAGCCTATTGTGGGACCCTGTGATCATGTAAGTTAATATATAATAAACTCCCCTTGAGATATATATATATCCTATTAGTTCTGTCCCTCTAGGGAACCCTGACTAATACAGAAGACCACCAACCACTACAGAGTGGTGCTTCCTGAAGTCCCCAGAAAGAGAATTAATGAGTCTCCAAGTGTGACATTCACTTAGGAAAAACACAGAGATAAGTAACAAAATTTTAAAGCTCCAAATCATCAATTTTAGATCATGTCTCAAGTGCTCTGATTAATCATATTGTTTTATCAGAGCTTCAAATTCAAGTTAAAAATAAAAAGACTTTGTTAATTAATAGCACACCATGGTCAACTACTATACCAACTAAACCTATTGGGGGGCAGATTAGAACTGATTAGACTTCTTCAGACACCTCTTCATAAGACAGGTTTATCTAAGCATTTAGTATGATTAACCCGCAAGAAATAAAAGCCTCCTGATCTTAGCTTATAGCACAATCTGTCAAGTGATAAATTTTCCTTTTTTTTGAGATAGAGTCTTGCTCTTGTCGTCTAGGCTGGAGTGCACTGGCACGATCTCGGCTCACTGCAACCTCCTCCTCCTGGGTTCAAGCGGTTCTCCTGCCTCAGCCTCCTGAGTAGCTGGGAGCAGCCTCCTGAGTAGCTGAGTAGTGGGACAGGTGCCCACCACCACACTCGGCTAATTTTTGTATTTTTAGATTTCACCATTTTGGCCAGGCTGGTCTTGAACTACTGACCTCAGGTGATCTGCCCGCCTCGGCTTCCCAAAGTGCTGAGATTACAGGCATGAGCCACTGTGCCCGGCCTATTTTTTAATACATAGTAAATCCCTGCTTAAAGTCAACAGGTTCTTGGAATCTATGACTTTACTAAAACACTGAGAACAAAACCAATTTTACCCTAGGCTAATTGATATAATAAGAATTAAGCTCCTACAGCATATTTCTGGTCACAAAAATGTCAACAAACTTCTAAATAAACACAAAAACACTTCTAATATTAAACACTAAAATACATGTGAGTGATACAGACATTTAAGAAAGATTAATGAAAAGATACTGATTTCCCCAATTATTCCAGTTTAAGGTCTCAAGTGGCTGGAGCTTCTCCTAGCAGTTCAGGGTGCAAGGCAGGAACTGACCCTGGACAGGACGCCATCCCATTGCAGGGCACACACATTCACCCACTCTCACTCAGCCTGGGACCTCACAGATACGCCAAATCACCTAACGTGTGCATCTTTGGGATGTGGGAGGAAACTGAAGCACCTGGAGAAAACCCACAGATGTGGGAGAAAACATGGAAACTCCACACAGACAGTGGGTCCCAGCTAGGAATTTTTTTTTCTCAATCATAATGAAATGACATTGAATGAAACAACATTATTCCAGGACTGCTATATGCCAATTTGCCTAAGTCATTTCGCTTCAAGTTGCAGTCTCCAAGAACCCATCGACGACGTAAAGTGAGGACTTACTGTATTTGTTTTATATCCTATCTCTGACAACTCTGCTATCTGCCCTCTTCCATCGTGTTCGTCCGACTCGACTCATGGTGGGTTGTTCATGATTCTTGGAACTTCATCTTTGGGTATCCTTTGAAGCCTGGATAAAAGTGCATCAGAGAACATGCACTAGCTTCTGCTAGCTGCCTACAAGGATACCTCTATGGAGTCGTTTTATTTATTTATTTATTTATTTATTTACTTATTTATTTATTTTTGAGATAGAGTTTTTGCTGTTGCCCAGGCTGGAGTGCAACGGTGTGATCTCGGCTCACTGCAACCTCCACCTACCGGGTTCAAGCAATTCTCCTGCCTCAGTCTCCTGAGTAGCTGGGACTACAGGCGTGTGCTACCACGCCTAGCTAATTTTTGTATTTTTAGTAGAGATGGGGTTTCACTATGCTGGTCAGGCTGGTCTCGAACTCCTGACCTCAGGTGATCCACCCGCCTTGGCCTCCCAAAGTGCTGGGATTATAGGCATGATCCACCACGCCCGGCCTTATGGGGTCGTTTGAAACTAAATTGCTTTCTAGTATTGTATTTCCATAAGGAAGTTTAAAACTTTTTTCCATTAAATTATTAAATTATTCCATTAAATTATTCCATTTGATTTTTTGAAGGCCACACAGGTAGTACAAATTCTGATCCCAAACTTTATGAATGTGTCTATTAGTTCTTTTTTCTTTTTCCTGCTCTTCCTAGAATAACGCTCGCTAATAGGTAAGTATCATCCTTGATCTGGGATGGGAATAGGGAGGACAGAATCCAGACTTTGGCTTTAGTGCTAATTCCAGTGGATTATCACTAGAGTTGCCTCATGCTTCCCCCAAACTGTAAAATGTACATATGCATTATATCTTGATATGCTGTACCAAGAGGGACATTATTACAATCTAGTTCACCACACTCAGGATCAGTAGTTGTCAATTTTAATCTAAACCATTCTTACGTTCTTGGACTAAACATCCCTGGGTAATGTTGAAAACAGTACTTCCATACAAGCCTGACATTTTAGGATTCTTACAACTACATTCATCAGTGAGATTTGCCTATCATTTTTTTTAACGCTATGCTTATCAGGCTTTGTTATCAAGAATAGGCAGCTTCATCAAATTAATTGACACTTCACAGGTTTTTCTATGCTCTTGAATTATTTATACACATGCAAAATTAGTGGTTACTTGAAAGCTTGAAAAAACACTTATAAAACTGACTGGGTACAGGCACTTTCCCCCAAAACATGAATTTGATCTTTTCTAATGGTTATTAATGTATGCAGGCTTTCAAACTCTTGGTCCATTCCTTTCTCTCCCCATCTTTTTAAAAAACTTCCTCATCAAGATGTAAAGATTTATAAAGCATATTTTTAGTTACATATCCTCTCCTTCCTAGATATCAGACTCCCCAGCAACCTATGATACAAGATTTTCAACTTGTAGATTTGTGATTTCTATTCTTTGGGGTTTTTCTAAATTATTCTAAATAAGGAGTTTAAACTTGATCTGCAAAGCTGTGGCGAACCACCAAAGGAGCAGCACAATCCAATCCACACTTTAGAAAGAACACCCCAGCAGCTCATGAGGGTGGACTGAAGGACCCTCAGAGATGAGAGGCAGGGAAGAGGCAGGAGCTTAGCACTCCCTCCAGGAGGAAGATAAGAAAGGCCCAGCAAAGACCCACAGCAGGGAGGGCAGGAAGTAAGGAAGTGGGGGTGCTGCCGCCGCGGGCCGTGAGCACACACAGCAGTGGATGGGTTCTGCCTCACTCCTCACCCCAAAATACATTTTTTTTTTTTTTTTTTTTTTTTTTTTTTTGAGACGGAGTCTCGCTCTGTCGCCCAGGCTGGAGTGCAGTGGCCGGATCTCAGCTCACTGCAAGCTCCGCCTCCCAGGTTCACGCCATTCTCCTGCCTCAGCCTCCCGAGTAGCTGGGACTACAGGCGCCCGCCACCTCGCCCGGCTAGTTTTTTGTATTTTTAGTAGAGACGGCGTTTCACCATGTTAGCCAGGATGGTCTTGATCTCCTGACCTCGTGATCCGCCCGTCTCGGCCTCCCAAAGTGCTGGGATTACAGGCTTGAGCCACCGCGCCCGGCCCCCAAAATACATTTAATGCGGCCATACAAGTACCAAAAAAAAAAAAAAAAGTTTGTGACTACAGAAAAGTTTTAAACTTCTTTATGGAAATACAATACTAGAAAGCAAAACCAAAAGACAAATGACGAGCTGGCAAGCATTGTCTGTAGCACCTGACTTGACTGCTTTAACATTCAGAGCTTGTCCAAACCAAGAATAAAAAGACAAGCAACTCAGTGGAAAAATTAACACTGGGGCTAAGAACAGGAAGTGTGTGAATAGATTCAACCTTGCTCTAGTAAGGAAATGCAAACTAAAATAGATACTATGTTTTACTTATCAGTTTGGCAAAGATTTAAAAGTGTGATGAAACTTAGTGTTGGCCAAAGTGTGGAGAAACATACACCACGCTTTGCCTATGTATCAATTTATTAGAGTATAAACTGGCAGGGTCTCTTCGGAGAGCAATTTCATAATATCAAAAATTCGGCTACCCTTAACCCATCAAGTGCCATACTAGTAATTTATACTTCAGATAGATTCAAAGCACACAAAGATAATAAAATTTGTTCACCAGGGTACTTTTTTACTTTTTGGCAAGTCTCAAACTGCAAACTGTACTTATCTACAGCAAACACTGGTTAAATGAATTATATTAATCAAAGAAATATTAGGTAGCTATGAAAAGAAACTTGGACTTTTGGGACTAAAAGATATCCAAGGAACTTTGAGGTATTTTAAATTTTTAAAAAGCTGGTCAGGGCCGGGCGCAGTGGCTCACTCCTGTAATCCTGGCACTTCGGGAGGCTGGGGCGAGCAGATCACCAGAGGTTAGGAGTTCAAGACCAGTCTTGCCAACATATTGAAACCCCATCTCTACTAAAAATACAAAAATTAGCCGGGCGTGGTGGCACGTGCCTGTAATCCCAGCTACTCAGGAGGCCGAGGCAGGAGAATCGCTTGAATCCAGGATGTGGAGGCTGCAGTGAGCCCAGATAGTGCCACTACACTCCAGCCTGGGCAACAGAAAAAAACCCTGTCTCTAAAAAAAAAAAAAAAAAAAAAAAACCTGGCTTGGTGCAGTGATTCATGCCTGTAATCTCAGCACTTTGGGAGGCCGAGGTGGGCTGATCACTTGAGGCCAGGAGTTCGAGGCCAGCCTGGCCAACAGGGCAAAACACTGTCTCTACTGAAAATACAAAAATTAGCCAGGCATGGTGGTGCACGTCAGTAATCCTAGCTACTGGGGAGGCTGAGGCAGGAGAATCACTTGAACTCAGGAGGCAGAGGTTGCAGGGAAGTCACACCACTTCACTCGAGCCTAGCCAACAGAGACTCCATCTCAAAAAAAAAATTAAATTTAAAAAAACAAGTTGTAGTACAGAATATAAGATATGATCTTATGTATGTGTTTGCATAAATTTTTTCCAGAAGGATAGTGAAAGAAGTCTCTAGTTCTAACTCTGGGGAATGAAAATAGGTAAAAAAAGGTTTTACTTTATTCACTCATTTGTATTTAAATGCTATGTTGTTTTTATAATCAAAAAAAAAAAAAAAAAAAAAGACTGCTCCCTCTGTAATCTAATACCCACCTCACCTTTTCCCCTTGTCTACCTCTTACTTCCATCAGTCAATCTGGTTCCCATCCACTGGAACAGGCCTCGCTCCTACCCTCTGACTGGTCTTTGCTCATGCATTAACTATACCTAGAGAAACTTCTCCCCTATTTAGAATTCTGCTCATCCCTCCACCTCTAGGTCTATTCACCTGCCAGGCCACAGCCATCGTGGCTCCTCTGAACCTGGAGCTACAGTAGGCATTTCCACGGCACCTGCAGTCTTGCCCTGTGCACTCTTCTTGAGGGTGGCTGCCATGTCCTGCTTCTTTTGCCTCCACAGTAGCTGGCACAGTGCCCACCAACAGGTCAGCCATGGCTACCGGAGGTACTACAACTCTAAATTCAAGATTTCGTACATTCATTCATTCATTCATTCATTCATTCATTCATTTACTTTTGGTGACACAGAGTCTTGCTCTGTCACGAGACTGGAGTGCAGTGGTAAAATCTCGGCTCACTGCAACCTCCACCTCCCAGGCTCAAGCGATTCTCCCGTCTCAAGCCTCCCAAGTAGCTGGGATTACAGGCGCATGATACCATGCCCTGCTAATTTTGGTATTTTTAGTAGAGACAGGGTTTCACCGTGTTGGCCAGGCTGGTCTCAAACTCTTGACCTCAAGTGATCCGCCCACCTCGGCCTCCCAAAGTGCTGGGATTACGGGCATGAGCCACCTCGCCCAGCCAAGGCTCAGTTATTTCTAAGGGAAGAAAATGAATACATGTTCAATGACTTCAGCAACAAAAGAAAGTTCTATTCAAACTAAGTTTATTCTAGAATTGTACTAGAGTTGAGCCAGATCAACTCACTTCTGGCATTTTCTTGTTACTTAAGGCTTTACTGTTTGATATTTGACTTCACTGGCACTGAAAGGTCATTCATTTAAAGGCAAGCATATAACAAACTTCACATACAAGATTAAAATGAGCAGTGAAGTTTTGCTAAGACATTCAGCTTTTATTCCTCTTCGTTCCCTAAATATTCTTACTTCTTGCTTCTTAAAAAGAATAAGCAGTTGGATAAAATCTTAATCTTCTTTTCTGTTTAATAGACTCTTTTTTCAAATTTTTTGCAAAATATCTGAAAGCAACATACACTTGGTTCCTTGGCTTAGTGTTCCATTTTACTCTTAAATTTTAATCCTATTAGTCTAAGGACAAATTCCCATGCTAATAATCAACTCCTTTGTATTGCTTCATAAAAGCTTAATTATTTGAGATCTTTTCCTCCCACTTCTACCACCAGGTTGCCATTTATTGTATGATCTCACTGAATCACTCTTGAGTCTGTTTCCCATAAAGTGTTAATCATGATCAACAGGTGGTTTTTCAGAGAAGGCTGTTACATCAAGACCAAGGCCTAATGTGATCTGCCAAGCTTTTTTACACTATGAAACTATCCATTACACCTTTCACATATGGACAGTCTGTTATAGGCATCAGCAGTGCCGGAATTTCTCTATGGGCAAGGTATAAAGGTTGGCAATCTTGCTGACAGGGAGGGCGGGCCCCAGGGTACTGGGCCTACAGCTATGTTTGCACAGTAAGCATGCTGATTTCACTTAGACTGTATTTATAAAATGGTAAGAATAACCGATTTTAGTTAAGATACTTTTACTCACAGTTGACATGAAATTGGCTTAATACATTATTAGTTGAGAGTAAGTTACTGGGAAGGGAGTCGTTAATAAAAAGTACAGTAAGACTAATTACTCCCAATCACTACCAATACACTTTTTCTCAGCAACTTTTCAGCACTGCCACCAGGGACGGATTACATGCCAAGCAGCCAGAATGTTTCTGGATTTGTGCTAAGAGCCTTATTCCAGTGAAGCAATTACAGCTATGATATAATATCCTTTCATGGTGCCAAGCAGCCCTGTCTAATAAGCAAAATAGCTGAGCAAGAATGAGGTCAGAAACTGAGGAAGTTAAATTTGTCTCTTCTACCCACTTTCTTATTGATCCCCAAAGGAAATGAATGAGAAAGTGAAAATGAAAACAAAGTAAAAGGAACAACTGTAGAGGGTACGTGTCAGATTGCTGGGGTAGTTTTTACAGATTCCAGCACAGAATTGAGAAATATCAGGACCACCATTTCACAACTGTTAAATCCCAGGGCCTGCGTAAAGAAACAGGAACACATCAGAGCCACAGCACAGTCAGCTGGTCACAGAGACTCATTTATTCCTCTTCTTTTATTTTTATTTTTCTGAGATAGGGTCTCACTCCATCGCCCAGGCTGGAGTGCAGTGGCGCAATCTCGGCTCACAGCAACCTCCGCCTCCCAGGTTCAAGCAATTCTCCTGTCTCAGCCTCCCAAGTAGCTGGGATTACATGTGTGCACCACCACGCCCAGCTAATTTTTGTATTTTTAGTAGAGATGGGGTTTCACTATGTTGGTGAGGCTGGTCTCAAACTCCTGACCTCAAGTGATCTGCCCGCCTCGGCCTCCCAAAGTGCCGGGATTACAGGCGTGAAAGATGGCACCCACCTGACACTCATTTATTTCGATTATGATATGGTCACTATAACCTCAAGTTATTCAAACTTAGCTTGATTGTTTTTGGAAAAAAGAGTAGGAACACTTTACCCCACCCTTCAGCTTATTTTTAACTTTCTCTCTCTCTCTCTCCACACAGACACACCTCCCAGTATTTCCTCCATCACCCAAAATTCAGTAACTTTATACAAAGAAGTAACAAGGATATTTAAGGGCAATAAAATATTGGTGGCTGGGGCCTACCAAGATATCTGAACACAAACCCCCATGTTGACTTCCAGTTAAACACAGATGAATGTGTATGTACATCACCTCTCCTAAAACCCAAATAAAAAAGGCAGTAAGGGAATTTTTTAAGGCATGAACCCACAGGATAAGGAACAGAAAAGACTGCAGCGGGAAAGAGAGAAATGAGAGCCGGGAGAGTGAACACTGTATCAGAACAAAACTGCGCAAAGCCAAGGCAGGCAGTCTTGTGTCTGCAGAAACAAAGAACCTAGACGTGAACGGACTGGCCTGCAGGACCCCTGAAATATGGCTGGAGGCATCCAGTGCAGAGCAAGGCAGGGTTGAGGCTGGGGATCCTACAGGGAAGTTTCATTACAAGTCTGAAAGCAGTGTTGTATGAAAGGGAAGAAGTTGAGCACTCCCCTTGACAAGGATAGAAGAGTCCTCAAGCCTGACAACAAGTCTGACAGCAGGGCACTGCAGCTAGACCCCTGACCAGCTTCTCCCCCAACCCCTCACTGTTAGCTAAACCCCCCTTAAAGGTTGGTGCTGGACTGAAGGTAAGTTCAGGACCTCTCCAGTCAGAGAAGGCTCTGCAGAGAAAGAGGTGAACTGAGACTTCCAGGATGTATGTATCTGTGGAAGAAAGGGTGGGAAGTGGAAGAGGGAGCAGGCAATAGGGGACGAGAAGGAAGGTGCATCTGTGTTTCAGGTCCTCCGAGTCTGTGCCTCTGCAACTATAAACTTTAAGTTGCAATGTGACTTCCAAGTTAGATCCATACAGGTAAAGAGAGAAAGCCTGATGAGATAGATTCTCAGCAGACGAGGGCAGCTCCTATAAACCTGTATTCTTATTCATTGCACAGTCACACTTACCTTGCAAGTTTGCTGAGGCCAAGGACTTGCTTGTTAGGAAGATAACCAATATGGACCTTCAGAGAAGAGACAGAAATCATGAGCTGAGTAAAAATACAGTGCCTTCTTTGTGACAGAATAAGGAAATACAAAAAGAATATAGCATACTTATATGTAATTTATCACAACAATATATTACCTTGAAAACATCTGGAACTGTCAAGACTTAGAAAATGAAACATTTATATACGTATTTTTAAAATTACATAAATGCAGTAAAAGAAAAATGTGTAAGTATGAGTCTATTAATCAAATAACAAACTTGAAGTACAGTTGTCCGTCGATAAACACAGGAGATTGCTTCCAGGACCACTGTGTATATCCAAATCCTACATACTCAAGTCCCTCAGTTGGCCCTGCAGAACCTGCATATATGAAAAGTTGTCTCTCCACCAATACAGGTTTTGTATCCTGCAAATACTGTACAATTTTTGATCACTGTTTGGTTGAAACAAAAGCCATGTCTAAGTGGACCCATGCAGTTCAAATTCATGTTATTCAAGAGTCAGCTGCACAGCCCTGACACTTACCTGTGAAGTTGAACTCTTGACACAAATCTGAAAGTTTCTTTATGGAGGAGAAACATTCTCAAGACAAGGCAAATGATCTCACAGCAACATTAAAATGTATACAGGAAAGCCTCCTTTAAATGGCAAAAACTGTAAGCATAAGTATTGCCATTCCACACATCACAGCAGTCTTAAGATCCCACCGCAAAGCCCTGTTAGCACAGAAGGTCTCCATGCCCTTTTGTGCTTGGCTTCCTGGTTTCTAAGCTGCTAGAGAGCACCATCCTCCTTTTTTTTTAGAGATGGAGTCTCACTCTGTTGCCCAGGCTGGAGTACAGTGGCCCAATCTCGGCTCACTGCAAGCTCCGCCTCCCAGGTTCACGCCATTCTCCTGCCTCAGTCTCCGGAGTAGCTGGGACTACAGGCGCCCGCCACCACGCCCAGCTAATTTTTTGTATTTTTAGTAGAGGGGGGATTTCACCGTGTTAGCCAGGATGGTTTCCATCTCCTGACCTCCTGATCCGCCCACCTCAGACTCCCAAAGTGTTGGGATTATAGGCGTGAGCCACCACGCCTGGCCCCATCTTCTTAACTGGAGAAAAAGGGCACTGCTACCACCATGGCTTGGCAAGAACCTGTACCCTAAGAACCAAGTTTTATAGAACCCGGTATACAGCCAGGCCATTTCTGTCATCTTAAAGGGCACCAATTAATATCAAATATAAAAGTTACCTCTTTTTGAGCCAAATACTACGTACGAAAAACATTACTTTCCTGAAAAGACTAATAGAGTAAATGGTCACTTGTAGGCAATTAATTAACAAATATAAAATTAGAGACTCAACAGCATCATGGTTTGCCAACAGTTTCATTGTTCACTTACTATTTACATAACTGATCTAGGAGTACTTAGTGATTTTTTCCCCATCCATTAGTACTATGCTTTAGGAGTTTGAGAAGTCCACCTCACTGCCTTCCTGGTTGGCAGAAGGAAAAAAGTAAAATAGCACCTAAACATTGAGTATTTCAAAGAAAACTTAGAGAGTTAAAACTTTCCCATGAACCAACATCTTCTATGCCGTCTGAAATTTTTACATTTCTATGCAGACATAGAATTTGTTTATTGTTTATACTATTTTTGGTCTTAAGATCCTAGGTCATCTAAATGTCCATTTCACAAAATCACTAAATAGGCCAGGAGTGGTGGCTCACGCCTGTAATCCCAACACTTTGGGAGGCCAAGGCAGGTGAATTGCCTGAGGTCAGGAGTTCAAGACCAGCCTGGCCAACATGGTGAGACCCCCACCTCTACTAAAAATACAAAAATTAGTCAGGTATGGTGGTGGGTGCCTGTAATCCCAGTTATTCGGGAGGCTGAAGCAGGAGAATTGCCTGAACCCGGAGGGCAAGGGTTGCAGTGAGCCAAGATCGCACCATTGTACTCCAGCCTGGGCAACAAGAGCAAAACTATCTTGAAAAAAAAAAAAATCACTAAATAATATATTTTTTAAACAAAGGTAGCAAAAACACAAACAATGAGGAAGTAGTAGCAGAAAGCAGCAGGATAAAATGGTGGCAGGCTGAGTACAGAATCAGTGCCTTAGATCTGGCTGCAGACAAGCCACTAACTATCTCTATCTTCTTGAACAAGCCATAGGCTTTCTGTGTCTAATTTGCTCACCAATAGATTCCCTTTCAAAGATTCCTTCATTATTAATTGCAGGATTACCAGATACGGTATGGCTCCTGATGTGATGTATCTGGGTTTTCTGATTGTTTTCTCTTCTTTTCTTTTTAGAGACAAGGTCTTGTTCTGTCACCCAGGTTGGGGTACAGTGGCATGATCATAGCTCACTGTAACCTCAAACTCCTGAGCTCAAGCAATCTTCCTGCCTCAGACTCCCAAAAAGTAGCTAGGACTACAGGTATGCACCACCACGCCCAGTTAATTAAAAAAAAAAAAAAATTATTTTGTGGTAGAGACAGAGTCTCACTACGTTGCCCATGCTGGTCTTGAACTATTGACCTGAAGCTATCCTCCCACCTTGACTTCCCAAGTCACTGGGATTACAGGCATGAGCCACCTCACTTGGCCCTGATGTGACATAATATGAAGTCTTCAGCACCCTTATGAAGTACTACTTTTCTTTCTTTCTTTTTTTTTTTTTCTTTGAGACAGGGTTTCACTCTCTTGCCAGGCTGGAGTGCAGTGGTGTGATCTCGGCTCACTGCAGCCTTGACCTCCTGGGTTCAAGTAATTCTCCAACCTCACCCTCCTGAGTAGCTGAGACCACAGTTGCATGCCACCATGCTAGCTACTTTTTGCTTGTTTTTTTGTTTGTTTGGTTTGTTTTTTGGTTTTTGGTTTTTTGTTTTGTTTCTTTTTTGGTAGAGACAGGGTTTCACTATGTTGCCTAGGCTGGTCTCGAACTCCTGAGCTCAAAGTGATCCACCACCTGCCTTGGCCTCCCAAAGTGCTGAGATTACTGACATAAGCCACCGTTCCCGGCCCTTATGAACTACTTTTATCAGAAATGTTTAGCCCTAGTCTTATGAAACTTTAAATCTAATCTAGTTTATAGGAAATCCAGAGGCTGAAGGAAACAAATCCGGAAGGTGGGAACACTGCTGAACAGCTGGCCTATTCTCTTTTCAATAGAGAATGTTATGGGTGAGAGGACTATTTTTGGTTTTTTTTTTTTTTTTTTTTGAGACGGAGTCTCGCTCTGTTGCCCAGGCTGGAGTGCAGTGGCCGGATCTCAGCTCACTGCAAGCTCCGCCTCCCAGGTTCACGCCATTCTCCTGCCTCAGCCTCCCCAGTAGCTGGCACTACAGGAGCCCACCACCTCACCTGGCTAGTTTTTTGTATTTTTTAGTAGAGATGGGGTTTCACCATGTTAGCCAGGATGGTCTCGATCTCCTGACCTCATGATCCGCCCGTCTCAGCCTCCCAAAGTGCTGGGATTACAGGCTTGAGCCACCGCACCCGGCCAGGAGCACTATTTTAGAACAAAAGAGACTTAAGAGGTATAACCAAATGCAATGTAAATACAAATGTGTGACTTTCCGTTGGATTCCTTTTTAAACAAACCAAGAGTAAACTTTTGAGACAACTGGAGAAATGTAAATATGAGTTAGTTATTAGATACTATTTAAGAATTATTGTTAATTTTGTGATAGTGCTACTGTGAATAAGTAAGAAAATATTTTAGGGCCGGGCACGGTGGCTCACGCCTGTAATCCCAGCACTTTGGGAGGCCGAGGCACGTGGATCACCTGAGTTCGAGACCAGCCTGGCCAGTATGGTGAAACCTCATTTTTACTAAAAATACAAAAATTAACCAGGCATGGTGGTGCGCACCTGTAATCCCAGCTACTCGGGAGGATGAGGCAGGAGAATCACTGGGAGGCGAAGGTTGCAGTGAGCCAAGATCGCACCACTGCACTCTAGCCTGGGCGACAATAGCGAAACTCTGTCTCAAAAAAAAAAAAAAAGGAAAATATTTTAGAGAGGCATATTAATGGCTAGTATGGGTGAGTATTTTAGAGATGCATATTAATAAGTAGTGATAAAGAGTTATGCTCTCTGTAACATACTTTATATTATTTAATATACTGAAGGAGTTATTGCTAACTTACTGGATATGGTAATCAAACTGGGGTTATGTTCCTAAAAATAATTTTTTATCTTTAATCTTCTAGGCTGGGTGTAGTGGCTCACATCTGTAATCCCAGCAATTTGGGAAGCCAAGGTGGGCAGATCATTTGAGGTCAGGAGTTTAAGACCAGCCTGGCCAACATGGTGAAACCCAATCTCTACTAAAAATACAAAAAACTAGCTGGGCGTGGTGGTACGCACCTGTAATCCTAGCTACTCCGGAGGCTGAGGCACGAGAATCATTTGAACCCAGGGGATGCAGGTTGCAATGAGCTCAGATTTTGCCACTGCACTCCAGCCTGGGCAACAGAGCAAGGCTGTCTCAAAAAGAAAAATAAATTTTTTTTCTTATCTTCTAGAGACAAATGCTAGAAGAAATAATCTGAAATTTGCTTCAAAATAGTTCAGTGTGGACCTATATTGAACAAGATTGTTCCTGTACTGGTAACTGTTGAAGCTACTTGATGGGAACATGAAACTTTGTTATGTTAGTCTTATTACATATTTGAAATTTTCCATAAAAGTTTTTTTTTCAAAAAAAGAGTAATACTACTAAACACATAACAGCATACTAAACTTAAGAAAAAGTACCAAGTGTTGGCAAGGATATGAAACAACTAGAAATCTCACATACTGTTGAGAGTGCAAACTGGTACAACCACTTTGGAAAACTATAGGTCAGCATCTAGTAAGTTGAACGTGGGTATACCCTATGATCCTGCAATTCCACTCCGAGGTACATTTCTAATAGAAATGCATGCATATGCCGGGCGCAGTGGCTCACGCCTGTAATCCCAGCACTTTGGGAGGCCGAGGCAGGCAGATCACGAGGTCGGGAGATCGAGACCATCCTGGCCAACACAGTGAAATCCCATCTCTACTAAAAATACAAAAACAAAATTAGCCGGGTGTGGTGGCGGGCACCTGTAGTCCCAGCTATTCAGGAGGCTGAGGTGAGAGAATGGCATGAACCCAGGAGGTGGAGCTTGCAGCAAGCCGAGATCATGCCACTGCACTCTAGCCTGGGCAACAGAGCAAGACTCCGTCTCAAAAAAAAAAAAAAAATTGCATGCATATGTACACCAAAAAAGTATTGATAGCCGTATTGTTTGTAATAGCAAAAACAAAAACAAAAAACAAAAAAAAAGAGGCAACAATACAAATGTCCACCAAGAGCAGAATAAATTGTGGTATGTTTGTACAATGGAATAAGATATAAAAATGAAAATAAACTACAATGACAGGCAATGACGTCAATCAATCTGACAATGTAGAACAAGAGAGGCCAGACACAAAGAGTACATATCGTAGAATATTTCCACTCATATATAGTTGAAAAACAAGAAAACTAATCCATAGGGTTATAAATTGATAGGGTTATAAATTGATACGATAGGGTTATAAATTGATAAACTGGCACAAAGGATGGATTAGGAATTAACAGAAGAGAAATGAGGTGAGCTTCCAGGATGCTAGTTGTGGGTTTTTGTTGTTGTTGTTGTTTGTTTGCTTTTTTGTTTTTTTGACAGGGTCTGGCAGTCTGGCTCTGTTGCCCAGGCTGGGATATAGTGGCACAATCTAGGCTCACTGCAACCTCTGCCTCTTGGGCTCAAGCCATCCTCCCACCTCAGCCTCCCGAGTAGGTGGCAGTACAGGCATGCACCACCATGCCCAGGGGTCTTTTATTTTTATTTTGGTAGAGATGGGGTTTTGCCATGTTGCCCAGGCTGGTCTTGAACTCCCGGGTTCAAGCAATCCATCTACCTTGGCCTTCCAAAGTGCTGGGATTACAGGCATGAACCACTGTGCCAGCCTATTCTAGTTCTTGATCTCTGAAGTGGTAAGGAACACCCTTAAGTTTTGTGCATTTTCTGTCTATATTTTATTTCCATAAAAAAGTAGAAAGATACAATACTTTAATAAAGAAAAAATGAAGCAAATGTTAACACTTTAACTTTAGTTGATGGGTATATAAGTATTCATAACACTACTTCTTGTAAGTCTTCTGTTTAAAGATTATTAATAAAGAGTCAAAATTAAATAAAATTATGATGGGGGTTGGGGGAATGGGACAATTCTTTGTTCTAAACCACATGTTCTCAAAGGTATATTAAATAGTCATTCCTAGACAACATCTAATAACTAACTCAGATTTAAATTCCTCCAATTGTCTCAAATGTTTTACTTTTGGTTTGTTTAAACAGGAATCCAATGGAGAGTCACACATTTGTATTTACATTGCATTTGGTTATACCTCCTAAGTCTCTTTTGTTCTAAAATAATGCTCCCACCCATAACATTCTCTATTGAAAAGAGAATAGGCCAGCTGTTCAGCAGAGTGTCCCATCTTCTGGATTTGTTCCATTCAGCCTCTGGATTTCCTGTAAACTAGATTAGATCTAAAGTTTCATAAGACTAGGACTAAACATTTCTGACTAAAGAAATTCAGAGGTGCTGAGGAATCTAATGCATTAGACTCACCTTTCCTAAAATAGAAGGGATAGAAACAAATCCACAAATACCATAACCTCTGTCACAAGAAATTCTGCAATTATCATTGCTCATGACATGCCATACATACATAAATATCTTGGATCAAACATTATTCAAGTTAAAGTAAAGGGCATCTCTAGATTGGGATGCGAACAATAAATAAATAAAAGGGTAAAGGTTTTCAGAACCTGTAGTAGCTACAAAAAAAAAAAAAAAAGAGATGCTACTTTAACCTCATTATTTTAACCTATGTCAACGGTATTTAACATGAAAGTCTTGCCCTGAGGGTCTTCTGCTACTTTGCTTTTGTTTTTTAAGTTTCAAGTTGTTAGTCAGGTTAATAAAGAATAATCACATATGTATAATTGTAAATACCTGGGATATCAGGAATTGGCAGCTAAAATTTTTAAATATAATTATTCTGATTGAAAAACTTTCATTATGTTTTAAATTGCTGGGAAACAACAAAGAGTACCTTACCTTTCCAACAAATGGAACCAAGTGATGCTCACACATGGAAAACATGTCTATGTCCTTCACAATCACCATCTCATCATGATCTTCATCAAATATAGCATCGTTTAGGACATCTGCAATCAGAGGCTTGCTTTAGTAACATTTCCAATTTTATGGAAAGGTAGAATAGAAAAGCTACTATGGATAAACATGAATAGACAATCAACATAAACAAATGTTAATCTTCCCTAAAATATTAAGGGAATACAAATTAAAGCTAGATATTTTTCCTTATCAAAGTAGGAAAGTCTTTTCCTTTAAGTGACATTTAAAAATCCTTGATACAGTGTTACATGAAAAATGCAGGATTATGAACATATTTGCAGTATGGAAGAGGAGGGAGAAGGGAGGGAGGAAAGGAAAAATTATACCAAAATAAAACAGTGGCTATTTCTGGCAGTAGAAATGGGCCACTTTCACTTTCTTCCTTACATTTTCTTCTACTTTATATTTTGTCTATAATCAGTATGTAGAAAAACTTATCTGAGAAAAAGACTAATCCTTAGCCTTCTGACTTCTGAGGCCAGACCCAGACACCTGTAAACTTGACCTCTATTATCGATTCCCCAAGTAATTTTCTACATTTGTAAAGTGTTCTATATATCGTAGGCCAGCATCAGACTTATTCTAAACAGTCGCCTTCCTAAGGAAATAAATCCTACAGTTTGTGTGTATATGCCTCTCTGGGTAGGCTTTGGAAGATGAGCAGTGTCTTGTTTAAGCTGTGGACCCTGGCACTTCTAGCCAGACATACAATAGACATTTTTTTAAAAAAAGCTTTATTTTTAAAAAGTGCACTGACTTAGCCTCAACTATGCTATGTGCAAGAGAAAAGATTAATTAGATGATGCCTGAGAGAGCTCTGAGCTTCCTAACATTCTGTGACTGCAAGAACATCCTGTCCCGGATGCTGAAGAGGGATAGAGATAAACAAGCCACAATCCCCGCCAATCATAATATAGCCAAGCTATTGATAATAGGCAGGTACCCAAACAACAGTGTAGATACCTGCCATATGACATGGAAACTTCTTCAGCTATATTGTCAATGAGAAAAGAAGCTACAAAGAAATACAGTAGGATTTCATTTTTGGAAAATAAATATATACATAGAAAAAAAAATGTACTGATACCTAGACAGTTTGGCAGACTAGATATAACAAGACACCTAGCTGTGTAATTTCAAGGATTTGGGGGATATGCAATATACATAGAATTAGAAAGAGAAGGGAAGGGATGTATTAGAGCTTTGCCCCTACAGCTCTTTCCCCTCGGAAAGGCAGGTGGCTGAGTGAGTCACAGGAAGATGGACAAATGTCCACCCACACTGCCTGACCTTCAGTGGTTCCACTGCTACTAGAATAGGGGGCTCACAGAGACCAAGTCATCATGTAAACCACAGTTATCACCCTGAGTCAAGCTATTCAGAGATACATTTGACTGTGTCGTAAAAAAGTCATTAGTGTGGTCAAGAAAGGTGAACATGGGGCTGGGCGCGGTGGCTCATACCTGTTATCCCAGCACTTTGGGAGGCCAAGGTGGCCGGATCACGAGGTCAGCAGATCAAGACCATCCTGGCTAACACAGTGAAACCCTTCTCTACTAAAAATACAAAAAAATTAGCTGGGCATGGTGGCGGGTGCCTGTAGTCCCAGCTACTCAAGAGGCTGAGGCAGGAGAATGGTGTGAACCCGGGAGGCTGAGCTTGCCGTGAGCCAAGATTGCACCACTGCACTCCAGCCTGGGAGACAGAGCTAGACTCCGTCTCAAAAGAAAAAAAAAAAGGAAAGGCGAACATGGCAGGGTTAGACACACACAGACAAACACAGACACCCCTGGTAGAAGTGGCTGATAACATCCCAGGAGAAAAAGGCTCAGTGTCACTCACTGAGTGTTTCTTCTACCACAGCACTTTTCTATTCTGAATATTCTGCCCCACCTTCAGTCATATTTCTGAAAAGAAGATCAAAAATAGATCCTTAATGTTTCCAAAAGTTTCTTGGATTTCTCCCCAAGATTTTAATATGGTATTATTGCCACATATAGCTTACTAAAATCTTTAGTCACACAAGAATATTCCTGGAAGGAAAAACAAGCCAAAAAAAATGTCTTAAAGTAAAAACAAGAGAGAATCATTAAATATAGGAAGCATTTGTTTTCTCTGGCAAAGAATGAGAGCATCCCCATCCTAAGCTCTGACGACAACCATATGGCCCATGTTAAAGTCAGCCCCTCAACTCAGGCGAAGTGAAGATCTAGCTCCAGGCTGGGCACGGTGGCTCACGCCTGTAATCCCAGCACTCTGGGAGGCAGAAGCAGGTGGATCACCTGAGGTCAGGTGTTCAAGACCAGCCTGGCCAACATGGTGAAACCCTGTCTCTACTGAAAATACAAAAATAAGCCGGGCATGGTGGTGCATGCCTGTAGTCCCAGCTACTTGGGGGGCTGAGACAGGAGAATTGCTTGAACCCAGGATGCGGAGGCTGCAGTGAGCCTGGGCAAGGGAGAGCAAGACTCCATCTCAAAAAAAAAAAAAGATCTGACTCCATCACTTACCTCAATCTTCTCAGCTATAAAATGAGCCTAAAGTGCCTACTTCACAGGGTGTCATGAGGATTAAATGGGCACATGTGTTTAGAACTATGCAGGCGGACCAAGTGCTAGTTATTGTTATTACTATTATTATTACAATTAAGATTGAGGGAGTTGCAAAGCTATGTATCTCTCATGCACATGGAGGTACATCAAAATTTAAAAAGCAATAATTTGCCTTAACAGAGTACAGAAAAGGAAAAATAGTAACTTAGTGGAGAAACCTGGCAGAGGCTACCTTAACCAAGTGATCAAGGTTAACTTTGCCAGTAACAGGACATACTGACATCAGGTAGCTCCTGATAGGACACCATGAGAAGGGCACATCACCCCTGCGGTATTCTTCCCAAAAATCCATAACTGCAGCCTAATCATCAGACAAATCGAGGGATACAAAATACCTAAACAAGTACCCTTAGAAAGCATCAGGCCAGGCACAGTGGCTCACACCTGTAATCCCAGCACTTTGGTAGAGCAAGGCAGGAGGATCACTTGAGCCTAGGATTCTGAGACCAGCCTGTGTAACACTGCAATATCCCATCTCTACAAAAAATAAGAAAAAAATTAGCCAGGCATGGCAGCACACTCCTGTAGTCACAGCTATTCAGGAGGCTAAGGCAGGAGGATCACTTAAGCCCAGGAGTTCAAGGCTGCAATGAGCTATGATTGCACCACTCCACTCCAACCAGAGTGACAGGGAAAGATCCTGTCTCTATTTTTTAAATGTTTAAAAATTTAAAAAAAAATTAAGGCATCAAAGTCATGAAAAACACAGAAAGACTAAGGAATTGTCAGATTGCAGGAGACTAGAGAAATGACAACGGAAATCTGAATAAAGTCTGTAGTTTAAATAATAATATTGTACCAATATTACTTTTTAAAATAAAGTGTATTATTATTATTATTATTAGTATTATTATTATTTTGAGACAGAGTCTCACTCTGTTACCCAGGCTGGAGTGCAGTGGCACGATCTCGGCTCACTGCAAGCTCTGCCTCCCGGGTTCACGCCATTCTCCTGCCTCAGCCTCCCGAATAGCTGGGACTACAGGTGCCCGCCACCTCGCCCCGCTAATTTTTTGTATTTTTAGTAGACATGGGGTTTCACCGTGCCAGCCAGGATGGTCTCCATCTCCTGACCTCATGATCCGCCCGTCTTGGCCTCCCAAAGTGCTGGGATTACAGATGTGAGCCACCGTATCCGGTCTCATTATTATTATTATTATTTTAGAGATTTTTATTATATCTTTATTATTATATATTTCTAAAATAATATTATTATTTTAGAGATCTTTACAAGTCTTGCTATGTTGCAAGGCTAGTCTTAAACTCTGCGGCTCAAGCCATCCTCCCACCTTGGCCTCCCAAGTAGCTGGGACTACAGGCATGCACCACTGCCTGGCTCCAATATTAATTTTTTTTTTTTTTTTTTTTTTTTTCTGAGATGGAGTCTCACTCTGTCACCCAGGCTGGAGTGCAATGGCGTGGTCTCTGCTCACTGCAACCTCCACCTCCCGGGTTCAAGCAATTCTCCTGCCTCAGCCTCTCGAGTAGCTGGGACTACACGCACGTGCCACCACACCCAGCTAATTTTTTTGTATTTTTAGTAGAGACAGGGTTTCACTAAAGGCCAGGCTGGTCTCACACTCCTGACCTCGTGATCCGCCAGCCTTGGCCTCCCAAAGTGCTGAGATTACAGGTGTAAGCCACCGTGCCCGGCCAATATTAATTTCTTAAATGTTGTACTATGGCCATGTGAGATGTTAAACATTAGGAGAAACTGGGGAAAGGGTATATGAAAACTCTCTCTACTATCTTTGTAATTATTCTGTAAGTCAGTCTAAAATTGTTCCAAAATAAAAGGTTTTCTTTTTTTCTTTTATTTTTTTGAAACGGAGTTTTGCTCTTGTTGCCCAGGCTGGAGTGCAATGGCGTAATCTCAGCTCACTGCAACCTCTGCCTCCCGGATTCAAGTAATTCTTCTGCCTCAGCCTCCTGAGTAGCTGGGATTACAGGTATGTGCCACCACTCCCGGCTAATTTTGTATTTTCAGTAGAGACGGGGTTTCTCCATGTTGGTCAGGCTGGTCTGGAACTCCCGATCTCAGGTGATCCAGCCGTCTTGGCCTCCCAAAGTGTTGGGATTACAGGCGTGAGCCACCGTGCCTGGACCAATAAAAAGTTTTCTGAAAAGCAAAAGGACAATGTCCCTCAACTGGAATGTATAAACAATGGAGTACACTTAGCGAGAAGATGGAATGAATTACTGATACATGTAATAACATGGTTTGAGTCTCCAAAGTACACTACAATGTGAAAGACATTCATACACAGAAGAGACTACCTATGCTCTAGGAAAGGCAAACTATAGTGATAGAAGGCACGCAGGTGGTTTACCAGGGCCAGAGAGATCGGAGAGAGGATTTCACTGCAAAAGGAAAGAAAGAAACTTTTTTGGGTGATGGAAACAGTTCCTATCTTCAC